ATAAATAAAAATAAATAAAAATAAATAAAAATAAATAAAAATAAATAAAAATAAATAAAAATAAATAAAAATAAATAAAAATAAATAAAAATAAAAATATAATTAAAGTTATTTAATAAATTATTATTTATATAATATTATATAAAAATTTAATAAAATAATCATTAATAAATTAATAAATTTTTAATTTATTTAAAAACTTTTAATATAAAAGTTTTTAAAATTAAAAAATAAATGTATAAAAATAAAAATAAATATTTATATAATTTTTTTTTAATTTTCTTTATTTAATTAATTAATCTTTTAAATTTAAATATAATTTTTTATAAAAATTTATTTATTTATATTTATTATTAATTTTTTTTTAATTTAATTACATATAATATTATATAAATTATAATTATATAATATTTATAATTATTTTATATTTTACAATAAAAATTAAATATATATTTTAATTTTTTATTTTAAATAAATATATTATATTATATATATTACATTTTTTATTATATTTTTTATTTTTTTAAATAAAATAAAATAAAATAAAATAAAATAAAATAAAATAAAATAAAATAAAATAAAATAAAATAAAATAAAATAAAATAAAATAAAATTAATAAAATAAATTAAGTTTTTATTGTTTTTTATATAAAGGGGCTTTTAAAGGGGAAAAAAAGGAGGTTTAAAAAAAAACACAAATGGGATTTAAACCCACGTTTTTGTATAAAAAGATACGTATTTTGACTTTTTTCTCGAAAGTGGGGAATCTGGTGAGACCCGTTGTTTTAAGAGGATGCACCCAATAAAAACGCCCTAGAGCTGCGCACGGACGAACTTCCTATCTCGTAAAATGGCCAGGCAAAAAGATCGTTTAACAACATGAGGGCACCCCTGCGGGGCACCACAATAGCCCGAGTTTACGAATCACGTGCCGCTGCTGCCGGGGAAAAGCGCTCGGCGCGCGAAGCGCGCCGAGCGCCTTTCCCCGGCAGCAGCGGCGGACAACCTCGAATATTAAGCTTTGCTAAAATTCTTTTAAAAAATGAAAGATAAAAAAAAAAAAAAAAGGAGCATGTGGGATTCGAACCCAAGCTCTTGTAAAACTTGGATTAGGTAGGTATGTAATGCGTGGCTAGCTAAGCTATGGCCAAAAAAAAAAGATACGTATTTCGAAAAAAAGATGAAAGTGGGGAATCTGGTGAGACCCGTTGTTTTAGGAGGATGCACCCAATAAAAACGCTCCAGAGCTGCGCACGGACGAACTTCCTATCTCGTAAAATGGCCAGGCAAAAAGATCGTCTGACAATATCCCTCGTAAACTCGGGCATATCCCTCGTAAACTCGGGCAAAATTTACCCAATTTATGTTCGCGAAACAATTTATTACTTCTTGTCTAGAGTTTGAAAACATAATACCTACTGTTTTCCTAGTGACTAAGCGGTTAAGATTGATATATTCGATACTTTTGGCTGACGTTTGTTGCGTTTGGAGAATATCACTCATCCTTGAAGGTAATAAGCAACTGTCTTGGCGCCTTGTAATACTTTTCGGAGATTACTAACCTAGGGCCTTTTCTTCGGTATGAATGTACACTCATTTGAGATCATATAAGCTCTTATACCTGATTTCGTTTAGTTATTGTAACTTGAACTTGAAGATACAACACTCAATCTCGGGTACGAGATCTGTTACGAAATAATTCGTCCGTGGTAGGGTATGTCTATTCTATTTTGCATTGTCTGCTAAGTCTGCTTAGTTTCTACCAAGCTCATCAAAAACATCGGTAGTTGCCATATTCCAGAAGTATAAGTTAAGAGAGAGGGCGTATTTCTAAAGAGGTACCTAAAGTAACCTTTTATTTCATTCATATCACTATGCGAGTTTCCTCCTTAGGTACTTAGGTGATGCAGAATCTTGGTGGGTAGATTCGCCTGGAACTAAGTATGATATTGCTTTTTCGACATGCCAATTAATACATTGTTTTACTATATCGACTAACATTTCCGTAGTCATGATGTCATCCATCACAATGGCTTTGTAAACCGTAACCCTTTAATAGACGATTCGGTCTCTTCGATTCCTTTTACGCATTCCTAGGTTTAATCTTGTAATATCTCTGAAAATATGCCTTCATCAACACTACCGCATCCTGACCAGCACGGCGTAGAGCCTCACCCCGATAGGCCCCGAAATGTCGACGGAACAGTAGACTATGCTCCTCATCCGGATAGCTCTCTGAAAATTTCACCGTCTCGGAGGAAAATACAACAGAAAATAATCAATCTGTATTGTGGGCAAGCATCAGAAGAGAACATGCAAGTATATGCCGAGAAAGCTATCTATGACGACCCTTTTAGTTATTGTGACACAAGGTACATTTAATTATGAAGCATTTTTAGCAGTCAGTATAACCTGACTATGTTTAGATACAAGATAGCAGGCCAGTGGTACGGCCTCCCGAAACTCTTCTCTAAGCTTGAATCGTTGGCAACGGAGGTCACGTCTTCGACAGAGCATGAACTCATTTGGAAGCAAAGACATAAGTATACATTTGCGGGTATCCATATATCAAAATCTGTGGATAGCCTAGTATCCTTGAAGCTTGAGGGCAAGGCCCCTAATGAGAAAGTCGTTTACCATAAAGACATGTGGAACGAGAAGGATTATTCCCATGAAGGTATAGGAGCTCTAATGAAGAAGTTGAATGGGTAAGTCAATAAAAAGTCCGAATATTTAGATACGAAACTTGCGAGTAGTTCTTTTAGCGATAAGTTAACAAGCATTACCAAGCCACCTGAATCTGTCTAGGACATCGACTGGAGAAGCAAGGTCTAGCCTGAATGAGTACCTCGGTATTAGGTAGCTACCAGTTTGAATAAACGACAAATAAGTCTGAATAATTTATTTAAGGATAGTTGAGGTACACGATGTGATGTAATTTGCGATTAACATAAGAAATTATTTCTCTTTTTCATCAGTCCAATGCCATATTCGGAAAAGGAGGTAAATGAGCGTGATAGGTAATATACCGTAACTTAAATAAAGTACCTTATTTTAGAACGGGTAATGAGTCCCCCCCCGTCTTGTTTCTGTCATCAGGGGCTTTCTATCGATGATCCATCTTAACGAGTTTCTCAAAGGCCTCATCGGTCTCGTCATTTAGGTCACTTCCACCATTTGGTAATGATGCTCGCAGTCGCCTAGCTTCCATGCGTTGTATTTCTGATTCCTCTTGTCTTGAGGGGTCCATTCCTAATGCTTTTGAGTGTAGTATGCGCAATGATACCGATATCAGTTTGGAGAAAAATGGATTCTGCTACGTCGAGCATGAGTCTAAATATGTCCCAAGTCTTGGAGTAGACACTGAACTGGTCGAAAAGTACCGTGCTGAGAACGAGGAGTTGCTGCGATCTTTCTTCAAAGCAGATTTTGTTCATTGCTACGATTACAAGGTGAGCATGCCAATATCATATTTTGATTTCCACTAACAATACTTTAAGATGCGTAAAAATGCTCCTATGGCCCCCGAAAATTATGACCCAAGTGATCCACTTCTAGTAGAGCAGGTTGCCGTAGGCGCACATGGTAAGACTCCTATGAAACTGATTATACACTGGCCTAACTTCCTATAGTCGGTTCGTAATTTGACTTATACATGGCTGGTGTGTTCTCATTATTATATCTAGACATCTCTCTGGATACTATACCACGGCTCCTGAAGAATGTTCTCAACGAAGAGCAGCTCCAAACTTTCTTCCAGCCCGGCTACCGTTTTAGACTAATCAAGTAAGGGCTCTCTTAGAGCAACTGTCACAATAATCACTAATCCTTTCTTGCAGTACGTGGCGTCCTATTTTACCTCAATGCGAAGATCGCCCTCTTGCATTGTGTGACTACAGCTCGATCGACGTAAATGACCTCGTTGCCACGGACAGAGTGTACCCAGATTGGACTCAGGAGATATACTACTTGAAATATAACAAAGAGCAACATTGGTATGGTTGCCTAACCAAAAGTCTAACGAGCTTTTTCTATTTCTGACCTACGACAGCCATTCAGGTTCAAATGCTAGATGTAAGTGCGATTATATCAGTAGTTAAAGGCTTAATTTCTACTAACCCCAGCCTTAGACTGTCCACATGTATCCGTAGAAAACTCGATGGCGGCATCGCAAGCACCCCCGCGTGAGAGCGTCGAGACACGGACTTTAGTCATTACGAAACTATGAACAAGGTCTAAATATTCCCGTAGATGAAGGCTGTATGTGGATCAAGTCTGTAAGAAACAGAAGTGTAGATTTTTTATAGAAACTTCAATTCAATGATACAGACAGATGGGTACATGAGTGTCGCGCATTCATCTTTACGGGATGGCTGGATACTAGGATTATAGTGTTGCCGGTTTCCAATACAAGGCTTGCTCGCAAACCGGAAAACAGCCAGGGACCCAAAGCAAAGCAAATGGCTGTTTGCCGGACGGAATAGGATTGCCGGCAGTCGGAGGGCACGTGCGGTAGAGGTGGGTATCTGGGTCCGGGGTCAGTCATGGGGAGGAGACGGGAAATGTGGTAAGGGATATTTAACCCTTGGCTTCCTAGATTCGGGCTCTCGGAACGGGGGTCCCCGGCAGTGTGTGATTGGGACCCAATCATCTAATTGCCGTTTGATCTATACAATGCTTTCGTAATGCTTCGAATAGCTCGATGCTTGTCAAGTTTCCCAAGGGCAGCATATCCGCTGCCAATGCGGACGAACCATTCATATCGGACGGCTACGTCTACACATTTTTCGGCCTGGCTGCCGTCATAGCCAAGTGGTACAGGTGAGCGGTTCTAGTAATTATCGATATCATTACCTTAATTACACACCTCTGGATGAATGAGAGTTGGATAAGACAAGACCGGATATTCTGCCGACCGACGCGGCATAAGCGAATCGCTACCAGAGCTAGAAGCTAGCGTTCTGTATATATGTTAGTCTAGATGTGACTCCATCCGCCTAATCTTTCGCCGTTTACATTTCCAACAAGACCGTATCCCTTTACCAACTTTCTTTCGCTTAGCTTGTGTTTCTTGATTGGTACTTGGAGTTCTTGCCGCGGACGGCTTTTTATTCGGAACATCGGCCATTTCTAGCTGGTATAAGCGCCTACTTGTCATTGACAAGGGCGGCGGAGAGAATCACTATAAGGTGAGTTTTATAAGTTGATTGATTCAATTATTTCCGCCGCAACGGGTGAATTACTTGGCACGGCCCACATATCTCCTTGCTATTATTGGTTCATGCATGTGAAATGTACCTCTCCACCACTGAAGTGTACCTAGGTACTTTTAAGGCTGAAATGACCCGCCCCCTTTTCTGTCTCCCTGCCCCCTTTACAAGCTCTTATTTACTAAGTACGCTATTAGCATCGTCTAGTTACCTAAGGATAATCCGTCTTAGACTTTTTCTAGAATATTATACTCGTAGTCTGACTATTTGTAGGAGGACTAGGTAAATCACCATTTACTTCACTCCGTTAATCTGGAGACCGCATCGTGGTGACCGAATGAAAAGCAGTTGGCTGTGATCCCATCTCATCGCTTTCTCCCCCTAGATCTAGAGTTGATATGAATTTTATTTGGTAAGACTTTTCGACCTATAAAACCTACGTACCTAGGTGGATTAGATAAGTAGACACAAGGATATCATAGTAGTGGATGATTGTCCAAAATATGAAAAGACAGCCAGGTGAAAACATCTTGTAATATATGAACCCTTATGTACAGATAAACCAATAAGGTAAAAGCTCATAAAAATTGCTGTTATGATGTACATAACAATAACTCTTAGACTCATATGTACCTTAGGTAGGTAGTTTTGATGTAAAATAATTGCGAAGAATGCCTACGTGCAAAATACCCGCTTAACAGGTGGCATGCCTGAATGGCCTCATCGCTGCAGTGACAGTTGCCATCAACACTCCGTTGCCACATGACCCAGGCAACAGCCGTACCTTCCACCCCCCCTTGCGCAGCACCTCTTATATCTCAATTCCCAACCCAACAATCACAATCGAGGAGTTGGTCCAACGGTCAGGGACAACAGTCAGTTTGAATGGACCACTATACATGCTTGAAAAGTTCGGGGTTCGAATCCCTGTGGGTGCATTTTCAAATGGATTTCCTGGGGTTAATTACGCATCAGTGGAGACTACGAATCTTTATAGCGATTACATCCATCTGGCTCTTTAACCTCAGGTGCCAGGAGATTATGTGCTCAGAGACGGTGGGATGACCAAATCTTTTTACTTTTCTGCCTGTCCGATAACGTATATCAAGTATTAACAGACGAGCTACCATGACGAGTATATCCACCATGTCTTTCTTGACCAGCAGTTTGGGGCAATATTTCCCAAATCATACACAATCACCCTTATCCCCCGGACGACATCAAACATATATACACATGACCCCATTATATAAATCAGGCAACTAGTGCGATGACATACAAAGAACCGCAAAGATATGGACAGATATAAACAGTGGGAAGAAATCAGCGCATATAATTCAGCGCTTCGGCTACGAGATACATACTTCTGCTGCTATTATCTAGGTAGTTTTTTAGTTATAGATTTAGCCCCTATTGATTCTTAGCGATAAACATTATTTAATGTATGGATAGTCTATATATAAATCGCCTATTGTGATGCTGTTCCCTATATCTTGGACCTTGTTATGGAAATATTACAGGTGCTAGAATGTGTATAGTAGGATCACTATAGACTTTACTTCAAGTTTTTTACGGAGGAAGATCTTATAGTTTTATTTTATCTCTCGGACCACCCTCGCTATTCTACGTCTAAGCGCTACGTAAGTGTAAAGATGTGAGGAAGATAGGGCAAGATAACTCAGTTATTTACAGGCACCTGACTGGGGTTAATCTCAATTTAAACAGGTACTGATAAAGTTGCAAGCTTTCATGCCGGATGCTTTTGAAGGGTGGTCTGAGGGCATAATACCAATATCATATCACGACAACTCCAGTAATTAGTAGCATGTATAAACAAGATATCTCCCTAAGACGTCGGTATAGCTGATGCTAGAAACTTTTAACACTATTCGTGTACCCTTGTTAGGCCGCCCACACTAGGTTATTACCAGTATTATATTTCCAAATAAAATAATCGCTTCAAGGGATTTCGCCGTGGCTGACGATTGGCTTAATCTAGTTTCACCGAAGCGTACTTATTCCGACATACCTTAGGCAGATTTTGATACATTTTAAGGGAAAAGCTACCTATGCTATTGAAGATATTGCATACCTATTACTATGAATTACTATGTCGACCGTCGGATTCTTTAAGTGTCATACGTGGGCTGAGTGCCAACCCCGGGTTGGCAACCCGGTGGCCGGGACCAACAAAATGTGGACCGCGGCACCCATTTGAAATTGTCAACGCTCTTACATTAATTAAATCGGAAATAAATAACTATCGGCCTACTCAATATTGGTGGGCAGAAGGTTTAAAGCAATTAGAGTTCCAATTAGAACTTGTCTCTAAAGTGTGCAGTGTAATACCTACTCTCAGTTATGAGTATTATGTATTCCGTATAATATAAAGTCTCTACGGTCGGTGGCCCCGCTAAGTCCGCTTCCGCTAACATTCGGTGTAATAGGGGTAGTTGATGCACCGAACCGAGTTCCCTAATTTTGCTTTACGAGGAAGGTGATTATAGATACTTTGGTTATTATGAAATACGCACTTAAGATAGCTTTCTTATCACAATATATATGTATTTAATATTAATGTTATAATGGTTAAATTATAGAAAGAAAGATTTAGTAATTATATATATATAGGTATTTTACATGTTATGTAATATATAACAATGTTATTATT